TGATACCTAGGCTTGGTTTTCTGGGGGGAATACATCAGGCCTGACTACAGCCCTTAGGGAGCTTACAACTTGGTTCAAAGTTAGCACACAAACTCAACTATAGAAAAACAGAAAAAGTTCATGTCTTGGGGAAATCCTCAAAGTGCCGTGGGAAGTCAAGGAAGGCAATGTCATTTCTAGCCGAAGATGTTTACAACCAAACCCCTTCCCCCTCACTTCTGCAGCCGGGTTTGTTTCTCCTGCAGCCTTTCCCATCTCCTCAAATGGGCCTCTCTCTCTATTGGCATTTTAAATTCATTCCTACTCTTGTTATAAGATAAAGTGTTTCCCACCTAGAACTTTTAAAAATATATCTCTGATAATATTAATGCTCTTATTTTTTATTATTAATGCTTTCCCACCTATTATAATTTCATTTTAATTTTCAGCAAATCACATGCAAGGTAGAAAATTTATATTCCTATAAATCCTCTTTATTCTCCAGACTTATTTTGCTAACCAATCCCTCCTTCCCATTTTAAGAGGTTATGTATGAATCAAGTAACAGTGGGAACAATGAGTAAATTGCACATCAGTGATAAAGAACAGGACTTTTGGTGTCAGACAGACTTGAATTTGAATCCTGCTCCACTTTTTTCTAGCAACAAGACTGGACACCATCTAGGTAGCCTTTCTGTGCCTCAGTTTCTTACTCTGTAAATGCGGATAACAATGCTTAACTTGTGGAGTCATTTGAGAATAAAATGACAGCATATGTATAAAGAGCTTCGAGGTACAGTAGCTTCTAGATACAGTGTGCAGCCCAGGAAATGGTAGTTTGTTTGCTGTTGTGTCCTAGATGCTGTAGTAGTAAAACTTGTAGCCCCACTGGGGTAATGGATGCACAGGTTTGTCCAAGAAAGGCCAAACTCAAGGCCTGAGTAATAATTCTGTCTTCAGTGAACTGTACATCTCTTGACTCCAAAAATATTTTTCTAATGGGAGCATCTTTATTGCATAAACAATTAAGGGGTATATGTTCTGTGCTGATACCTAGGCTTGGTTTTCTGGGGGGAATACATCAGGCCTGACTACAGCCCTTAGGGAGCTTACAACTTGGTTCAAAGTTAGCACACAAACTCAACTATAGAAAAACAGAAAAAGTTCATGTCTTGGGGAAATCCTCAAAGTGCCGTGGGAAGTCAAGGAAGGCAATGTCATTTCTAGCCGAAGATGTTTACAACCAAACCCCTTCCCCCTCACTTCTGCAGCCGGGTTTGTTTCTCCTGCAGCCTTTCCCATCTCCTCAAATGGGCACCATGTTCAGATCCAAGCCAGGACTCTGAGAAGGAAGCTCTTTGACCACTGGCTCTCCTTCCCTTCTGCCATCAGCTGTATGCGAAGCTCAGCAGATCCTTCCTCCTTAATATCCCTAAACCTCTTCATCCATCTTCACTTCCATTGACCTCGGTCAGTGGTTCTCAAACTTTTATGCCTTAGAATCTCCTGGAGGGCTTGTGAAAACACATATTGTTGGGCCCAAACCCCAGAGTTCCTTCTAATTCAGTAGGTCTGGGGTAGGGCCTGAGAATGTGCAGTTTTAATAAGTTTCCACTTGATGCCAATGCTGCTGCTCTGAGGACCACAGTAAGAAGCGCTGTCTTTGTTCATGACCTCATCCTCTCCTGTTGGGATTATTGCCCACCTGGTCTTCCTAACTAAGCTTTCTGTCTCTTAACCTTACCTTTGTTCTTCACATTCTCCACCTTGACCTCAGATCTGGAAGAAAAAAGAAAATCCTTTCTAGCTGTGGATACCCCATTGGATAAGAGTCAAGATGCCTCATGTGATCTGTAGGGCCCTCAATTACCTGGTTCCTCCCTCCCTCTCTAGTCTTATCTACTGCCTTACTGATCCCATGCCCGACCTCTGGCACATGGAAGTCCTGGTAGTTTTGATATCCCTATCATTTCATGTTTTGTCCTTTGCCTCTGCTGTTCACTCTGTCTGCAATGCCAGGAGTCCCTTTCTTCACTTGCTAACTCCTGTGGGTCCTTGCAAACCACTCAGAAACACCTCATTAGGGAAATATTACCTCTTCACCTTCAGGTAGGGATAGGTGCCTCATCTCTATGCCTTCTACCCATTTGGTTATCATGTGATGCTACCTGCCTGCTAGTCCACCTGGTCCACATATCTGAGCTTCCTGAGAACAAGAACAAAATATTTTATCTCTATAGCCATGGCCCCAAGTAGTATATTGCCTGACAGAGAGATGAAACTCAGTGGCCTTAGAATCTCCTGGAGGGCTTGTGAAAACACATATTGTTGGGCCCAAACCCCATGGATGTTGAATGAGAGATCCAGAAAGTGTACTTGATGGAGGTGGTCATTTTAGTCTAATGTAAAGAGCATTTAGGATTTGGACATGCAAAGAGAAGAGGAAGAATATTCCAGAAGAGGAAGCTTGTGCCTATGGTCAAGCTCGGACATGTGTAAGGAAAGAGTAAGGAGGGGTCTAGTTTGTCTGGCCAAAGGAGTGTTGTCTTGAGAGTCAGATAGCAAAGGTAAAATCAATGTAACTCAGCAAGGGATTGAATATAGAAATTCAGGAAAGACCCAGATCAAATGTGAGAATATAGAAAATACCATTGACCAGAAACAGACTCTTCAGAGATGAAATAAGCTATAAGGAGTAAAGATGGGGACCAAGAATGCGGTTTGTGTCATGGTAGGTTTGGGGACACCATTAGGATGCATTCCACTGTCTTGTCTTTAAGTGTCTTCCCACTGACCTTATTTACATGTTTTCATCTCCAGGGCCTAGTAATTGCCCAATAAATGTGGAATGAATGAATGTATGCAGTGGAATCAGTAAATGAGCCAAGGAAAAGAAGGACAGGTAGCTTCTGTGATGATGTTAGGTAGTGCATTGCCACCCATGATGCCCCCCACGCAGATAGGACTCAGGCAGGAACAACAGTGGGAGGACCAAGAGGGGTAACTCAGGTGATGGGCAGCAGGGGTTCAGGAGACCATCACTTATCACTAGAAATGGGGAGAGTCTTAGTATTTGTTTAAACAATCAAATGACACCTTGAACGTAATGCCCTAAACCTGTGCTTGTGGAACTTCCTAAGGAGCTTTACAGTTTGCTGAGCAGTGACAGAACGTATGAGAGCTGAAGTGAGCTCTCACTTCACTGCACTAAGGCAATAAACATGAACATTCATACCTTTATGCTATGTTTGAAGATATGTCTAGAAAGAGTTATGCATTGTCACTGCTAATCAATTTTCCCTTGTGAACTAGACAGCTTTATGACTATTGTGACACAGTTCTCAGAATCTAACCACGTACTGTTCTTCCATTAAGTATAACACGTTGACATGTGTTTAGAGAATATAATATAATGTTGAATATATGAAAGAAATGGTTTTTCTTATGACCTGTTTTTCCAGTCTTCTTGTTAATACTAGAGGGATTTCTCATATTGCTTTTGTGTGTGCAGAGAAATACCTGACTAAAAATTGTCTAGAGATTAAGGCATTAAGTGGTGTTTGTATTAAACATACACACAGTGAAGAGTTATGCTTCCAAGCAGACATCCTCGGGGACATTTGGTTGTGCTTCTAAATCAATAATTCTATTGGTTGACCCATCAAAAATTAAAATCTGCAATGTGACTAAGCAAGAAGTTTTATTACCAAAAACAAGCACCAAGGGCATGTGGAGGGGGGCGGGAGGGTGAGAGGGTAAACAGTAAAGAGCCAGATTTCAATTTCCTTTTATGCCCAAGCCTAGACAGATCATTATTTACCCGTGTCTGCCACTGACAAACAAAAGCACAGGGTTTTGAAACGGCAAGTCATTTACTTTAAAATTCAATTTCATATCTTCAAACAACCATTGTGAGTATGAATATCTAATAAAAGGATCAGACGTTGGCATCCGAGTGTAGCATCTATAAAGCATGTACTCGTTGGAGTTAATTTATTTAACAGATATTTACTGAGCGTTGTATGTGTGTCACTGTACACTAGACAGGAGGCACCAAGGCAAGACCAGGCTCTCTCTCCTGCTTGAGACACGTGGAGTTGCAAGCTCTGGTTTTATTGTTGTTGCTGCTGCCGCGCTTACCATGTGAATGCCCGTTTTTCTTTCCAGTTTTCAACTTGAACTAATTCATAAAATATGAAATGCTGGACTTGTGATGTACTTCCAGGGTAGCCATTTTCAATGTGCCTCTTAAAAATTCCACAGTGTGTCAGTTTTGATGGAGCCAATTAGGAAATCTAAGGAAAGTAGAATTTAGGAAGCCAGGGAGTCATAAGAATGCTTGGAATTTCTAAGAGATTTTACTGAATGTTTTCTGTATCGTGACATGTTCCAGAAGACCATAAATGTTAGTTTATATGAATATAAACTACGTCTTGCCTTGCCGATAATGGTAAATAAATAATTCAGATGACCACCCACCAGAACCCAAGACGTTGGGGGGTTTTGTGTGTTTCCTATGAAATATTGGCTTTACTGTAAATGTTTATACTCAGAGAGAAAAAACAATGATGCATTGTCTCATTTTACTCCCACTTTTAAATTCTGCAAAATGATTTTCAAATATTTCTGCATCTCCCAGTAATATCCTTCTAGAAATATAACATAATGATTAACCTCTTGTCTTGGTGTGATTTTAATGGAAGGAATTAAAGGCATTTTTCTTATTTGCATTTTTGAACAGCAATACACTGACTTCTCCAGTTAAAATTAATTATTCTGTCACATTGTTTTCATGGTAGCAATCAACTAAATTAAATACAGGACTATAAATCTGGACAGCACTGTTTTATTCAGTAAGAAGCCGTAAGTCAAGTTCATAAATGTTGCACAAAACACAGCTGTTTGGCTCCAGACCAGGAGGTAGTAAGGGAGGATGAAAGGAGTTGGGGAGATAACCTTTAGCTTAATATGGCTTGGAAAATTAGATCCTATATATGCTAATTTTGTACTTTTTTTAATAGATGGAACTGATTAAAAATATAAGTACTGCCGAACAGCCCTATTTATTTACTCGACATGTTCATTTCCTCAACTTCTCAAGGTAAGATATTTTCCCGTTTAATGGTTTTCTTTTCCATTTCTTTTCAGGACTTAGACTCCTTCTAACAAACAATTACTTTAAAATCTACCTTCATTTCCAAGGTGGTGTAATCGCCTTTGAAAAGCCTTTTTTAATCCTGTTATTTTTGCTGTGAAGGGGTCAAAAATTTGAAATATTTGGACAAAAGCTTCATTTCTTTCTAGAATACTAATCTCAAATCTTATGAAAAGTTGAAATTATTTTTAATGAGAAGCCATTTTACCTGATAGTTCTTTTATTTTAAAAAATCAGATTTTGTACTAAAAGACATAACTTGGGAAGTAAGACATGGGTATTTTATTTTATTTTTTAAAATGTATTTTTATTGATTTCAGAGGAAGGGGGAGAGAGAGAGAGAGATAGAAGCATCAATGATGAAAGAGAATTATTGATCGGCTGCCTCCTGCATGCCCCCTACTGGGGATCGAGCCCGCAACCTGCGCATGTGCCCTTGACCAGAATCGAACCCGGGGCCCTTCAGTCCAAAGGCTGATGCTCTATTCACTGAGCCAAACCAGCTAGGGCAAGACACAAGCATTTTAACAGAAATATTTAATTGCACATTTTTGTGCAACTTGAACCCGCACAGGGCTCTGGAAATGACTTAGTGGTGAAGTGCCTGCCTGTTTAATACTCACCTGACTAGGCTAAGCCTTGCATGTTTGATGCTGACGGGGTATTTTAGGAATCTGTTTTTTCTTTGTCTGCAGGGACTTTCTGATAATAATGTAAATTTTTCAAATTTAAGTTTTTAGACCCTTGATTTGTGAAGTTGTTAATTGTGAGTTCTGGGCATTCTCTTACTCAGGGATTCATTTGCATGGGTTCCCTTGTCACTGGGCTTTGCTGTGAATGGGAAGTCCTCAGATTCTTCCTCTCCTCTCGCTGGCCCATGTCTGAGCTCACAGCTGTACCCCTGGCAGAGCACTAGGTCCAGAGACAGATCCACTGACCAGCCCGGGACCCTGGGCCTCCCTCATCAACCAACTGACTGTTATTCCCGTAGGGATACTAGCACCTCGCAGGTCCATAGAAAGCACTGGATTGTCCTACTGGCTTGTGCTGGCCTAATGCTCCCTGAGGGCCAGGCATCCAGGAAGGCCCTGAGTGTTCCCAGCTCTGCTGGCCACAGGATGCCTATCAACCTAAGGGGGTGGAAGAAGGTTTTAGCCTTCAAAGGACTTCCCTGCCTTACCCCAGGCCCAGTGCAAATTAAGTGTAAAGAGAATGAGATTCAGCAAAGCAAGTTATTAAGCAGCAAAGAGGAGTTTGCTGCCTTCTCTTTGAAAGCAAGCTTCCCCTGAGGTTTCCAGCCTGCTTGCTAACCAAGGTTCCTGGGACAGGGAATAGGTGAATAGGACACCTGCACATTATCCTCAGTGGCCCAGGGCCATGCACCAGGAGAGCTGGTCCCCAACCACATTTATAAAGTTGCTTGCTACTGGATTGTCTTGAGTCTGTGCCCTGCCTCTCACTTCCAGTCCACCGAGAACATATAATTCAACATAATTAGATAATGGGGACTTGTTAGCTATTTTAGGCATTGCCTTTTATGACTTGTACAGCGGCGAGCTCGGCCCCTCTGACCCTTACTCTTCTCATGAGCTTCCTTCTGCGTCACCCCGGATGTCCTCCAACCTGATTCATTTCACTGTTGCTTCAGGGTCAAATCTTTACAACCAAAACAAATTGCAATGCAGCAAGTCTTAATAATGAGCTCAGGACAGTGAAAACTCTAATGACAAGCCAAAGCCAATATCTTAATTGGAGCAGCAGAGCTGGGCCCAGGGCGATGACTGTATTATATCCTGGCCCCTAATGTCGAAAACCTGTTCAAGAGTTTAATCTTGATTAATTTAATTCAGAAAGAAAGACAAAAGATAAATACCTTTAGAAGACACCACATCTGCAGCAAACAGTGTTGGTCTGGGTGTTAGACCTTCTCACTGACCGTGATTCTGGGTGAGCAGTTTAACCTCTTGGGGGGGTCTCTGTTTTTCTATCTGTAAAGTAGGGCAGTTCCTGCCACTACCACCTTATAGGGATGCCCTAAGCACATGAAGGGAAGCCTTTCAGGTTCTGTGGAAAGAAAAACATTCTATGTAGTCAAAGTGGCCTTGAAAGGCATCTCAGCAGGAGTCTGGCCGTGGGTTGGCGCCTGCTGTGGGTAGCCTCTTGGTGTCTCTATCTAATGCTTTGGGGGTGGGGCCCTGCTCCTGCTGGTGACGCCTCCATTCCATTTTGTTCAATTAAACACATGTTTATTGAGGACCCCCTGTCCTCTGGACACCGCCCTAGGACTGGGGCTTCTGCAGGGAATGAGAAACATTGTCCTTGCCTTCAGGTAACTGTAAACTCTTCTCCCATTAATGAAGAAGTGGCAACGAAGTGTGATGAACTGGAGGAGAAAATCACAGGGTCTCCTCCAGAGGAAGTGGGAGGCAGGACCCTCCACCCTGAAAAGCAAGACTGGAGGGCATTGCGAGCAGGAGCCATCGCTGCTGGGATGTGAGGGGTGGGCCAGACATTGGCGGCACAGGAACCAGCATGAGCAAAAGCAGGACAAACAGAGGGACAGAGAGCACCCAGCGAATGGAAACTGCAGTGCATGGCAGCCCAGGCTGTAAGCAAGCAAAGGCAGAGACCGAGCTGACCAGCTCTGCTCCTTTAATAAGCTCATGCTAACTGCAGGAGCAGCCTCACCCCTCTTCCCAGCCACATGCACAGGGCCGGGGCCTTAGGTGCAAGACCTCCGGAAACGGGTAGAATGACAAATTGAACTTTCATTCTTTACAAGACGATGTTCTACTCACAGAACATGGGAAGTTAAAAATCACCTTTTTCTTTTTCAAGGGAATAGATTTATTTCAGGAAAATGTCTCAGGTATAAATGGGCAAAGTGTGGGCATACAAAAAAAAGCACCCCAAAATATACAATTAGAGAGAAACAACGAAGTTGGGGCTTGTTAAGAGGGCTTCCGTGTGTTTTTAAAGTGCGTTTTATATTTTGAATTGTAAGGCGTAGAGATCATTGACCGCTCCTAATAAACCTGCCCTGATCATGGCTGACAGGCATGTGGCTGGCTTGTTTCAAGATAATGAGGTTATTAAGAGAAGAATCGATATTTCAACCCAGTATTCTTTGTTGATGTTTTATTTCTAATCTTCCTTACATTCTTAACGTGTCACAAGGTACTTGCTGGTGAGCAGAATGTAAGAATCAAAGTCTGGCCTCTCCCCCCACACATTCTTTTGCACCAGAATTTCCTGAACTTCTGAAGGGTATGGCATTATATCAAAATGAATTGCTCCTTAATTCTTCGCCCACCTCCCATTAATGGGTCATTGTTACCTTGAAGTTTAGACACTCTGAGCAATGTTATCCTGTGAGCTTCTGGGTATTCAATAGCTGACTTATTTCATTTATTCATCATCTAGGTACCCTTCTGTATCCCTCCTTTGTCCTTGCTTTAGAGCTAGATGGAACCATTTCACCATATCCAGTTTTATTAATTCAACCATGGGAAACAACAGTATCGGGCCAGTCTAGTGTTTTTGTGGTTACGTTGGGGAAGCTTTCTTGCCAGAGGAGAGATGAACATAGGCACGCCGAAACTTCGGCCTTTGGTATGGATTGGGGGCGTCTCCCACGGCAGTGCTCTCTCTCACACGGCCAAGTGTTTTCCACCCGGATTAGCTGGGGAATTGAGTCCAAATTACCTTGGTCTAAGAGATACAACTCTTTTCCATGATGGTTAAGGAGGAGTTTTAATATCTGCATACTATGGTTTCATGTGTCTGTCCCCAGTTATCGAAGTAACTTCAAGAACTGTAATATTTGAAAAGGTTTAACTTCCCAACATCAACAGCATGGCTTTAAGTTTGTCTTAGATCGACACGCTGGAAAAAATGTGACAGGCAACTCAATTTGTCTTCCTCCTGCCCCTACTTTTTGTTTGTTTGTTTTCTAAACTTTTTGCGGGGGGGTGGGGGGGAGGCAGTAATTCTTTTTTCAATTCACAATTCCCCTCATCCCCCAACTTGGGTCCTGCAAGGACAACGTTGTGAAGTTCTGTATCAGAGCTCAGTACTATCAGAATAGTCCGAGTGAATGACAGGCGATATCAATGTGCTAAATAATTTCAAACTACCACCTCTCTGAAGCTTTCTTATGTCCTTCTTCCTTTCTCACCATGACCCCCTCACCCTGCTTTGCTTCCATTTCTATTTCATCTTTTGTCTCAGATGATGGCTCCAATACCAACACTAACTTACAAAAGCAAAACATTTAAAACGAAATCAATCACTAGAGAAGCTGGCAGGGTGCACTGTGCAAGGGGCGGCCTTTTGGACACTCCGTCTCTTTCCTTCAAGGGAAGTCTTATTACTGACGTGAACAAAGTCTGCCCTCTGATGGCATTATTTAACAAAACAAATCTGATCTTGCTAAGTTAATTCTATAACGCAGTCGCGTTTCCACATCTTATTTCTAAACGTTGACTTTGTTTTTACTCTCATTAGTGAAGTGATCCTTTTAAATGCTGTGCCCTGCAGCTCTCTTTTGTAGTGGTCACCGAGCCTCAAACGTCGAAGACAAAGGTAGTGACCACTTTCTTTACCTACTTCAGCAGAGCCCAGAAGTTTGATTTGAAAATGAGAGATTTCTCTCAGTTTATCCCATTTCAACACAGCAGAACTGATCTTCCTAAAATGGCCGTCTCTTCCTCACTCTTCCCTTCTCACTCTGCAGTGAGTGTACCCTGCGGCTACCTGAGGGTCAGCATAACCTGGACTTGCCCTGAGCTCACTTCCCTGCCCATGGGAAGGACCTTCCTCCAGGTCATCTGCTTACGTCCTGTTTTATCAAGCCACCTTCCTCTCTGAGCAAGAACCCCAACTCCAGTGGCTCAACTGCCCACCCCCTTCACCCTGTTTGTCTCCACTTCCTACTAAATAAATGTTCCCTAGCCAGGGAGCAGAGTGGCTGAGTCTCTTCTGATTGTGTTTTGCGATGGGAGGCCCTATACGGGACAGCTAAGACCAAGTGTCCACTTATTAGGATTGTGAGGATGGAGGGTGGACTTCCTACCCCATGAGTGGTCCATTACTGGCCTTAGCTTCTAGCAAAGGACCATTCAATAACCACCGCTACTGGCCCCACACCCCAGGCAGCTCCTCATCTGCCCCCAATCATCTGCTTTCCCAGGAGGGCTTTTCTCTCACTTCAGAGTGTCTCGTCCCTCATTACAAAGATCAAAGCTGTGGACTGCCAGCCTCAGTATTTTCATCTTTTATTGTAGGTAACAGGACAAGGATAACTTCAACTTTCAGGCCAGAAGTTACGAAGAAGATAGACTTTGGGTGGAATGGTGGTAACCAGGGGCTAGGAGTAGCGGGGAAGGAGACTTATTGTTTAATGGGCACAGAGTTTCTGTTTGGGATCATCAGAACCTAGAGATGTGTGTCGGTAAAAGTGTACCTAAAATTCTTATCCAGGTGCTTTGTGTAGCTCTTCAAAAAGGTGACGAATGTTGCCAAAAAGGTGGTCGATTGAGGTAGCAGAGGGGGAAGAAAATGCTCAGAGTGAGATATTTGAAAATGCATGAAAAAAATGAGAACCATGCAGTTATACTTCCTAGAGAATTATATGCTGCTTTGGATCTTTGTGTTCTCATCAAGAAAAGAAAAATAGAAAGAATATGATAAATTTGCAGAGGACCAGAAGGAGACCCACAGAAGTGATTAAAGTGTTGGTAAATATGACCTATATACAAATAAATGCCAAAGAAATGGGAAATCCCTGCTATTTTAGGATAACTAAAAAGAGAACTTCAAATATGCAATCATTGTTGTGGCGACCAAGGGACAAGAGGGTGTGTTGTTAAGTGAAAAACAAAATTATGGCCTGATTCTACTCTCTCCTGTTCACACAACCCTGTCATGAGCTGTGGTCACCACAATATTTTACAGCTCAATAAAGACCAAATTAGAGCAAACACTAAAGGAATTTTAAACACACACACACACACACACACACACACACACACACATTAAAGGAATTAAAATTGAAGCTGAAAAGTCTAAAAGTTGTAAAAGCCCAGGAAGAGGAGCTAATCCTTTGTGTGGACTGGATCAAACAAAGGGAATTTCCCACAAAAGGAAGATTAGGAATCTGGGGTGCGTGTAACAAAGACTCCTCGACTGTGGGGTGGACCCATAGGATGGACTTTGCAGGGAGGCTGTGGAATCTTCTCTCGGGGGATTTAACAAGAAGGCTGTGGGAAGTGGGGGTGGGGCGTACACAGCATTCTTCCTCTAGAATGGAATCAGCAGCAGGCAGTGGGTTCAGTGACTCAGAGACCCTCTAAGGGTGACCAGGATTTCTGACCAGAATTTAAAAATTACTGAGAGGCGGAACTGACCCTGAGAGAGAATGGAATGAGGGTGAGACATTTCTTTCTCTCCCTGGCCTCTTTTGTATTACCGACATGCCCCTTCTGATTTCGGCAGTTTGGGAGGGAGCCATGTGTCCTGGAAAAAGGATGAGAATTGGCAGGCTGAAACTATTATCACTGTCACTTTCTGGGAAGGAGGGTATATATCAGACACCTCTCTTGCAGAAATCGCAAGAGAGAGGCTATTATATTATCTGATACTTGACAATAAATTCTTGAACTGCCTACAACTTCTGTTTTGGACAATTCCCCTGGAATTCTTGCATTGGGTTACAACATGCAAACAGGAGCAAGTCACCCATGCTCAAAGCCTTGTCAATCCTCACATCTGTAGCTTTCAAGAGAGGTTGGCTGTGGCCAGACCAAGGACCATCTCATAGTGGGAAGCTGGGATTAAGTTCCATGACTGGACACGTCTGCTAATTAGTCATTCTTCACATGACATAGAAGTACAGTTGAGGTTTTAAAGCATGATACAATTTCGAGGGCTTAGTTGCATTCACATCTAATGTTCATGCTTTGTCTTCCTAAGCCCTAGAATTATTACTTTAGCTGCTATTTATCATAGATATGAACACGATTTCATTTAGAAGAGGGAGATGCATCTAGGATGATGATGGTTAGCTGGTGATTGGCACAGCTGACTTCTGGGACTAGTTAGTTGTTGTTCAGGTAGCATGAACGTTATCTTGTGCACATATGGGGACTGACAAATTTCCTGTTGGCACAGCTCACCTTACTCATGAGCAGCAAGTTCTCCAATATGCTGTATTCAAGGTTCCTGAATACCATTCACATGTCCCGGTGCCTGAGATTTCACCATTGGAGTCATTTCTTTATCTTTGTTTATATTCTTGTCTCTGAAGATTCTCTTGAAAAATGCAGAGAAGCTGAGGACAACATTGTACGAATAAATACGCAAAAAGGATTGGTGCTGTGTGTCAGCTTTCCTCCTACAACTGAGCCCTGTGATTTTGGTAGTAACATGCAAACTTATAAGCCTGCATGCAGGCATTCATTTCTTCATGGTTGAGCAGCTACTATGTGCCATGTACTGTACTCAGTGACATCGTTCCTGGCTCCAGCAGGTCCACAGTCTGACGGGAGAGGCAGATGTACACACAGTGTGCTAGAGGCAGGGCTTGGAGGCAGAAGACAGAGGGATGGACGCTGGGACACAGTTAATTGCTGAAGAATGTGACTGGGATTCTGGGCTGGTTTTGAAAGGCGAAGAGTCTGCCAACTGGGTAGAGGTGGGAGCAGGTTATACCAGTTTGTTTTCTTGGAGCTCTTTCTGACCCCTGATGGAATGTCTAGGCATCCTCATCAGAAGGTCACAGGGTCACAAGGCAAGAGAAGCCTGTGGGTCCCTCAGGAGGTCCCCAGGGCAAGAACTCTGTCCAGAGCCTGGAGTGTTCTGTTTAGGCTGCTCATGTCATGGCTTGCAGGCCGTTCAAAGAGAAAGGAGAGGGACCTTACGAAAAATTCAGCCAACCTCGTCATTTTGTCTTGGGAAGGCCTAGCTCTTGGGCCAGCAGTCAAATCATTTGTCTAATTCAATTCCTTTGTGGGAGGAATTTAAAAGGAACGCCTATATATTTGCTGTATTTTTATCTGCAATCCTTTGCCGTCACTTGAGGATAACGATGCTGATTTTTGTTGTGTACCTGAGATTCCTCCCATTTACATGTACCAATTCCAGGATCCTCTGTCCATGGTTTGGAATACAGAGTCTGGAGCCAGACCACCCAGGTTCATATCCTGGCCCAGTGACTCACCCGCTCCCTGCCTCAGTTTCCCCAAATGAAGGCAGGGATAATTATGGTTCCTACTGTATTGAGATGTTGTGAGGCTGCAGTGAGTCGGACAAATAAAGTATTCACAAGGTAAATGGTGAACGTTTAAGAAATGTTGACTCCCTGATCCACATTCGGCAGAGCACCTCGCCTGAGGCCATCGAAATTAGAATGTAGGGTATGTCCTGTTGACCTGCAAGATGATCAGAACGTAGCAGTCAGTTCAAACACTCACTGAGGCCTAGCCAGGTGCCTGTGGGTCTGTGCCTGACCTTGGGAATGCAAACTCCAGTACAGCCTGGTCTGCTTCTCAGACCTACAACCTAGTAAGAGAGTTGACAAATGAGGTCATTTTTATGAACAGTCCCAGCAGCCTCTTCACAGGTCCCCAGACAGGCTCTTTCTGCACGATGATAAAGTGCCTGTCGGGAAACTGCTTGCTGATTGCATTGTTCACTGGTACCTTAGCACACGGGTCTGATGATAGCATGTTAACCTAGAGCAGTGGTTCTCAACCTTCTGGCCCTTTAAATACAGTTCCTCATGTTGTGACCCAACCATAACATTATTTTCGTTGCTACTTCATAACTGTAATGTTGCTACTGTTATGAATCGTAATATAAACATCTGATATGCAGGATGGTCTTAGGCGACCCCTGTGAAAGGGTCGTTCGACTGCCAAAGGGGTCGAGACCCACAGGTTGAGAACCACTGACCTAGAGGGAGACGGTGTCTGTCTCAGTGGTTCCTTTCCCTCCAGAAGTGACGGGTTTGTACCCGCCTCTGTGTTCGTGTGCTTGTTAGGTTTGGAGGAGACCAGCCTGTCTACATCAACATCATCAGAGACCCCGTCAACCGGTTTCTGTCTAACTACTTCTTCCGTCGATTTGGAGACTGGAGAGGGGAGCAGAATCACATGATCCGCACGCCCAGCATGCGGCAGGAGGAGCGCTACCTGGTGAGTCCTGTTGCGGCCAAGAGGTGGTTGCCCCCCTGCCCTGGGAGCAGCTCCTGGGGCTGGGAAGCTCTCCCTGCCTGCCCATGGCATCCCCATGGCACCTCCACGGAGCCTATGTGACGAGGGCTCTTCCTTGGGGAGGAAGTTTTTGCCAGTGAAACACTGTTCCGGATGACCCAGATCATAATGAACTCTTTCCAATGACTTTCCAATCTTGCTGTCCTCGGCTTGATGTTAGCGCTAGAATTTAGTCCCAGAGCAGAAATGATCTTTCCCTGTGGGCATCGCTCTCTGAGGGTCGCAAAGCATGTTCTCAGACCTCATCCCATTCAGTTCCCATGACAATCCTAGGAGGGAGGGGTGCTTTCAGGCGAGGACTCTGATGTTCCAAGAAGATGTGGGACTTTCCCAAGTTGGGGCCCCCCGGTAAGGGGCACAGCTGTAACTGACTGTCTCTGGGTCCTCTTGACTTGAAGGCCAGGGTTCTTTGCTCCACAGCACAACAAAATCAGGCCACCTCTGCAAAAATGGTGTGCCTTTTCTGCACTGTGTTTCGGGATGCTCAGCTCCAGAGAAATGTGGGTTTTGACCTCAGTCATTATTTCCAGGGTGCTGCGTTGGAAACAAAAATAGAGGGAAGACTTATGTATCTTCCTTTCCAGAATTAAAAGGAACATTTCTCACTTATTTGTGACCTAAACTGACAAAAGCTTACTGAGTAGCTGAAAGCCTGGTGTTAAGGAGGCTGAAATCCTGGTCTCTGTGGGCGAGAGAGCCCTTTGGGGTCACGCAGACCCATGCTGGGCTGTCAGCACAAACAAAGAGAGAGGAGAAAGTTATGGAGGGATCAGCGCACATCTATCTCCACTGCTGGAAATGAGCACTGAGCCTGCACCCCCTGCTGAGGGGGCTGTGGCAGTATCTTGGTAGCTAAAGAAAGTAGTAGCATTAGTCACAGTTCTGGTACAATGTGAAAACTTCTGTTTTCTCACTTAATTTTTTAAAATGTAATAAAGGATGTGTTTGGAGGGTGGGAGCACTTTTGGATGATGTGGAGTCTTATCCAGTGCTGCACATAGTTTTTGGATGAGCCAAGAGGAGAAACCAAGGCCTTTCCCTCACTGCTCAATGTTTGCTCAACTACCCAATACTTCAATGAAATAGTTCGATGGCATATTTTAAAAGTGGTTTTTAGTTTTGATGGCAAAAACCCTAATCTTTTCCTTTAAACTGCATGTTATGAATATGGCTATATATTTTCTATTCATGATGAGTGTGTATTCAGAGTACAGAACCACTGGCTGAGGAATAATGTTGACTCAGATCCTCTGTTTCTACTGGATCTTGATTAGCATTTACATCATCTTCTAAACGTACAGATCATAGTCCACTGAATCAAAATATATTTCCAGATTTCTGACTCAATAGCCATACTCAGAAAATTAGAACCAAGTTATAGCAGAAGATGCTGGAAAACCAAAGACATGGAAACGAGTCTGATGAATCCTGCTCTTCAAGCATTAAAGTAGGTAGGAAGTAAATCCACAGTCTACCAGAAGATGAAAGGTGATTTTGAAAAATGAGCAAGTGGAGGGACCGTCTGGAGATCCAGAATGCCTGGGGGGTGGGGAGAGGCTGTTAATGAGGAGGTCAGGGAAGTCATGGAGGATGTGTAGTTTGAGCAACTATCGGAATGAGAGATGAAGTTGGATACTGGTCAGCCGTAAGAGTATAGCTCCAGGTGAAGGGGGCAGCTGGGGCAAAGGCCTGCAGTAGGCACATGACATGTATGGCTCATTCAAAGATCAGTATGGGAGAGCAGTATGGCTGGTATAGAGCGAGGGAGGGGTAGGGAGAGGGAAGTGGCAGGTGGTGAATTGGGAGAGGTGAGAGTTGGAGACAACAGATCATATAAGGCCCTGGGAGTCACTGTGGTTACTGTAAGTGGGTTGGGAAGTAACATGAATGACCCCAAATGGAACACACTTTAATCAGTGACTCCTCCTGAACCTCCACTGGAGAGCTGAGCCCTTCTCACAGTGGGAAATGCATCATCCCATCACTCTCAGCAGTTCCCCCCTTCTCTCTAGGAGTCAGGACTCCTCCCTACTTCTCTAGACCTGCATGTCGCTGACACCCAGATGCTTGTCCTGAGAGTCTCACAGGCTCCCACACTCAGAGTTTCCAGGGGGCTCCAGAGTAAATGTGATTTATGTGATGGTGACCTTGAGTTGGGCAGTGCACAACCTATACCACTGCACATGGAGGTCCAGATGTTCTTCTGTGCTCCCCCCAAGGCTCTGTTTTTTGTTGTTGTTGTTGTTGTTTTTTTTGGGGGGGGGGGGGCGTGTGGTAGTGTCTTAACTTCTCTCCTCTCCTCCCAACAGTCTGTCAGCTCTTTGAGGACAAGGTAGGGTCAGAATTCCATCTATGTCCCTGGTACCCAGATGAAGTGCTGAAATAATGGAGACCTCAATAGCACTCTATTTAGTCAATAAAATAAACAATGACAACAGAACATGAATGTAGGAGTTGAGAGAAATTCTCTAGATTGTTCTACCCTGTCAAGTTTTGCTATCCTGTAAGTCACTCCACATAACACAGTCTTTATACATTTACACAAAGAAGTTGTAATCATTAGGCAGAGAAGTTGTAAACATAAGAGGAAAAGAATGCTTTAGATTCTTTTAAAAATATCTTTTTATTGATTTTAGAGAGAAAGGAAGGGAGAGAGAGATAGAACCATTGATGAGATAGAAACATCAATCGGCTGCCTCCTGCACGTCCCCCTCTGGGGATTGAGCCTGAAACCTGGGCATGTGCCCTGACTAGGAATTGAACTGGATACCTCTTGGTGTCTGGGTTGACACTCCTCCACTGAGCCACACTGGCCAGGTGGTTTAGATGGGTTTTTTTTGAAAGCCCATAGAATGTTGAAAGTTGGAAGGGTGGTAAGTCTTCTATTTTGAGAGGCTGGTAGCTGGCTTTATGGTGCGATTTGAGAGATTCCAGGAAAATTTCCCCCCCTGGAATTCTACCCTTAAAGAGATTTGCAGGGGCCCCTTTCCACCTGTAAGCACTGCATCCTGGGAAGGGCCTGTGTCAGATGGGCTCATCAGATCATTGCTTGGCAAGGCCTCAGCAGGAGAGAGTGGACTCCTCAAAGCAGCAGAGGCAGAAATCAGGGCGTAGGGGGTGGGGATGGGGGGGCCTGAGGGACACGTGACTCCTTTATGATCTGGCCCCAGCCTGACCCGGTTAGGAAGCTGTTTTCTTGTTCAAAGGATAGTTTGTTTATTTGGAAGAAGGCAGTCTATTGCCTTTCTTTTTAGTAGATGAAACTTTTTATTTCATCTCCCATTAAACCCTTGAAATAAAACGGCCCCCTGTCACAGCCTGTCCTCATTTTGGCAAGCCTGGGTGGTCAGTTGTTTGCCTCAAAAGAGGGTGTTGTTTGTGTCTCAGTGGGGTGTAGGGCAGCTGTGAGGAGACCACTGTCCCCTTGGGGAGGCCCTGCTGGGGTCGAGGGCCGGAGAGGGGACCTACAGGGTGTCCCCTCTACCAAGCAGGCAGGCGCCCTCTGGGCGCCGTGCCATGAGGCCTCTCCCTTGCACACTGTATGCACAGAGTCATCGGGGTGGCCCGAAATGGGTCTACTGACGTACCCGCATTATTCCAGATCTCAGTGCTCTGAAGCCACTCGCTTTATCCAGTTGCCAAAAACCAGGCAGCTCTGCTCCTGGCCCTGAGCCTCGCAGAGCTGCTTAGCATACAGCTGAGAGAGGCCAGGGCCTGAGCCCACTCAGGGGGTGAAATAATATCATCTTGTGATGCTGGGTGGTTTGGGAGAACATGGAAAGGGGTAAAGGAATCCCAGGATTTGCAGGGTCCCTGGAGGCCACAGGTGCAGGAATGGGGCCTGGTTTGAGGGGTGGCTTCGGGGCCCCACCAGGTGTGGAAACCAGGCCTCCTGATTCTACAACTGTGTTGTTTGGTCACTCGGACTTTATGTTGGACTTTCTGAATGGTAAAGGGGACCTGGACTGCGCCAAGTTTCATGCGTTTTTGAGCAAAATAATTTTGTCTGACACCATCTGTACATCCTATAAAGACATAGCTGTTATAGAAATGGTGGTGTGTGGTTTTTTTTTCAAATGTGCGAGCATCTTATAGCTGTTCTCCATATTTTCTGGAAACAATTAGATTTTCTACATGTTTCCAATTCTTTCCAAACTATTCTTCATTTGTATTTTCAAAAAAAATCATCTTCACATGAATTCTTGCTAGAACGGATACTAATTCATCTTTTAGCAGCCACAGTGTGAAAAGGCGGTTCTCCTAGGCCAGTGGTCGGCAAACTCATTAGTCAACAGAGCCAAATATCAACAGTACAACGATTAAAATTTCTTTTGAGAGCCAAATTTTTTTAAACTTAAACTATATAGGTAGGTACATTGTTATTAACTTAATTAGGGTACTCCTAAGGCTTAGGAAGAGCCACACTCAAGGGGCCAGAGAGCCGCATGTGGCTCGCGAGCCGCAGTTTGCCGACCACGGTCCTAGGCTCATTTCTCTGAGTTCAGAACCGGAAACCCGGCTCGGGTGCCCAGGTGGCTGCCTCCCTCTTGGTGTGAGAATGACCAAGTGAGGCAGATCCGAGCCCAGAACACTTGGATGTGCCCCAGCCCGTGAGCCTCTTCTCCAGCTGCAGTCCAGGCTTCTTTATTCCCAGCTGAGAAATACCTGGCACCCCAAGCCCAGCTGATGAGAGAATGAATGACCGCTAATGAAAAGCAACTGTTGTGACTTCAGAGCAAGGGAGAGCATCTCATTCCTGCTGAAGCCTCTCTCGCTCCCAGTCACTGAGTTTCCCCGAAAATGCATTTCTTATGCTGTCATTTCCACTCAGTCAATGACACATGTGTGGCTGATGCCTGCCATTCACTTAAAACCCCGGCCTTAGGAAGCACATGCCCCCAAATGTCAAGGTGGGCTTCTTA